GGGGGGGGGGGGCGGGTGTAGTCAGTGAAAGATGCCTACGGGCAGGAAGTGAGGGCTTCGGGACATCACAGACATGACAGATCAACTGGCTCTTTGAAACATGGCTGCGTGTCATAAGTTGCAGTGTTTGGTGATTACTCTTCTTATGGAGACAGGACTTGGCTCTGTAGGTGGGGGCTGTCTGCTGCTGGAGGTATTCATATATAGTGCCCGTATGAACATAGGCAACTGGGATGTTGAGAAGGGGCGTCAAGTTCTGGACCAGGGCTGGACTAAATGACCGCTAACGGTCCTTCCAATCTGAGATGGCATGATTCTAAAGCAAGCCCGGTAGCTGAACTGGTGCTGCAGGCTGGGATCTGTGGTTGGGGAGCTGCCCTGGGCAGCAAATGGGTTAAGGCTCAAATAACTTTTATATATAAATTAATGTGTAGAGTTGAGAGCCAAATCTGTTCCATTAATTTTTCCATCCATTCCAGGAGCAGTTAGGTACACACCGTAAAGTTTATTTTGGTGCATGGTATACTTCACTCCATTAAAAATAAATTAATCAGCAAATTCCTGCCTGGCCCAGCTCTGGTTTATGTAAATAGTGCCCAGCTGTAATGAGTTACAAGGTGTTATTATCTCACACACACAGGAGGCTTCACTCTAGAGCTCCTTGTGCAACAAAAGCATCTTAAATAAACTCAGAGAAGGTGGTTTGATTTGTAATGTTTTCACAGAAGTGAGATATACCTCACCCTTATAGAGTTTCTTTATATGACTCATTTTATAGCCAGTTAAATGAAGGAAGTTTGATGGGGGGAGGGGCAATATGGTTCTCCGCCCCCTTTCTTCAATTTAAAGAAAATTCCCCCAGAGATGACCCACACTCAGAGGGAGGAGGGGACTGGTCCTCAAGTGCCCAGACCAAGGTGGCTCTGCAGCACATGCTCCTGGAGGTGGGAAGGGGGTGGAAGGCTGGGCACAGGGCTGGGTCCTGGGGCAGAGCAATGAAGCCAGGAAGAGTGTGTTCTCTTCTCCCCAGTACCTCGTATAAGGAGGAGCCAAGAGAGGAAAAGGCAGCACGCTCCTCACCCAGTTCAACGGGAGTGTGTGTGACAAGGGGACCTTTCTCTTGAGTCCTCTTTCCAAATGACTCAGGATGTGACAAGCCCCCTGGCCATAGAGGCCTCCTGGGTCCCCAAGGTCGTGGCCTGGAAGGCTGTACCTTGGCCAGAAGTGACATCTCCATGAGCTGGAGGCAGAAGCAGCAGCAGAGACCCCCCCCGAGCCTCTCCGCCTCCCTGTCTCTAACTGAGCTGGGCAGTGCTCCTCAGCTCGTGGCATCCACCATCCCAGGTAAGTTTCTAAAAGACCCAGGAATAAAGAGCCATGGCAGAGAGAAGTCTCTGTTTCTTTTAACGGCCAACTCAACCCCACGGCTCAACGCCGGAGGACAGAGCGTGGTTACCCGTCTTGACTCAGAAGCATTACAAACTGCTCCTAGGCCACAGTGGGCCCTTGGGGCGGGGAGGGGGTGTCCCCTTTCTAACCTACCCCCATTCCCTTCTGTGGCCTTTGGGAAAAGCTGTCAATCGCATGTTTCCTAGATGGGACCTGGGGAATGTGTGCAGGGGAGCTCTTGCTCAGGGCTTCTCTTGAGGGAGAGGACACCTTAGAAGGGCTAAGGGTTCTCCCAGCACCGTACCCCACCCAATCAGACTCCTGGGCATACTAAGAGGAAAATCAACACAAATGGGGCCAGGTATTTGACAGATGCTTTTCAAAGGTCAGTTCAGGCCACTTCCTGCAGGATCCTGGGCCAAACAGCCACCTCTCTTCTGGCAGTTCCTCAGAGCTAGTTGGCCAGCTGTTTGGAGGGACCAGCCCATCAAAGACCCTCGTCGTTGTAAGTTGGGGAATGGGGCTTCAGGATGCTCTGAGGATTCTTCTCCACTAGAGGGCGCCAGCTCACCTCCCCTGTCAGAAGCAGATCCTCACCATTCATGGAGTCCAGGTACTGTATCTGCAATCAGAAGAACAGGAAACAAGAAAGGGACAAGGGCAGGACGGACGTGAGACGGCACAAGGAACCAGCCTCCCAAAGGAGAGAACGGGGCGGGGACACGAGGGGCTTCTGACCATCCCAGCTCCCAAGCCTGGGGCGGGTGGGCGCGGGCGGGGCGCGGGTAGTGGTCTCTGATCTCCCGGATTATTTCATTTAAGGGGGTTCGAAGAAACAAGTCACTAAGGAAGCTTTCTCAGGCTTTAGGGAATTCCCCATTGTGCCTCTGAATGGACAAATGTCTGACACACAGGCCCTGACTTGTGGACCAGAAGAACTGTGTGTGATTGTCCATTCAGGGTAGCGATGTTACCCAAGGTGAGCCAATTCCCTTCTCCGATATTTAAGTTCCCTTGTCTGAGAAAGGGGCCCATAATAGTAACGTGTACCCCACAGGATGAAGGACACTGCTAGTCACTGGAACTTAAAAAAAAAATGTGTATGCTTCTACTGTCCTCTAGTGGGCCCTGACCCCATGGTTAGGGGCCCCAGCTTCACCCCTCTAGGATGACTGAGGGAGTTTATCCCCCTGAACAATGCGGAGAGGGGACACCTGTGATAGAGAACAGGAGCAGCTGCAGGGAGGTGTGGTCGGACAGTTTTGCAAGAGGCAGGTGCTCTAACGAGTGGCAAGTCTTAGGCGATAAAGGCCACCTCTGGGAGGATTCCCAGGCTTCTGCTGGTAAGGAGAT